CGTTTTTACTCTACAGTATGCTGTATTTCTAATAATTGTGGAGAACATATATTTGTGTTTCTCTCTTAAAATAAAACTTTCTATATAGATCTACACTTACATATGCATCTTTTTTTTGCATCTCTGTTATATTTTGAAGAAGTATAGCTTGTTTCTCAGATGGATTTTCCAAGTTGGCCTAGCTCTATTTTTGTTTTTTTTTTTAGTTTCATCACTCGCAGTAGTTCTCTCTCCCTTCTTCCCCCTCCAGGGACAGATCAAGCTTGTTAGCATTTGAAAAAATACTGGAAAATACTGGAAAACTTAAAGGTGTTCAGTAAACATGATTGCTCAGAGTTGTTGCAGAACATGTTGGCAAATTAAATCCCTCAATTTAGATGGTATGCACTCAGTCTTATTTGCCATCCAAAAATCTAGTTTTAATGAGAACTATCATATTCAGAACTGATCATATTATTTTCCCAAGCTTTTCTAAAATACTACTGTTTCTTGACAGCTGCTGACAGATGTCAGAGCCTCTTTTTACCTCAGAAAGGCTATTTAATTTCATCTCCACGATAACAAGGTTTCTGTTAGTTTGTCCTCCATGTTCCTAGCTAAATTTTGAAACCACTCCTTCACCAAACTAATATAATAGCAGACAATAATAATAAAGCAGAACCATTCACCATTAATATGCCATTGCTAGTCTCTTGTTAAGACTCCGTTGGCTAGGGCTGAACCCAGTGATCCTCTATTGATGCATTATGCCCATGAGCAATTCCTGAGTAAAGACTATGGGACAACAAATCGAGACCTACGTGCTACAGTGAATTTTTTGTGGGTGCGTGCCTGTACCTGTATTGAGGCCCACTGAAGTCAGCATGACTCTGAGCCCAGCTCAAAGCCTGCCTGCGCAGGGCTCATTGTGGGGCTGTGGCACGGATGAGATATACAGTGAAAGCTGCAGTAAGGACCAGGCACCTTCACAGACCCCTTGCTTAGGTGACTCCTTACATGTATCTTGAAATTTCCTAAGACAAATTGGTTTCACTTTCCTTAAAGCTACCTCTACTCCACAAACGAGTTTTGCTTGTGCTTTGGATAGTCGCTCAAGACAGGTTTCACTGTGAAAATTTGTGTGCATGTACATAAGCTGTCTTCAGCTCTCACGACAAGCAGGTATCTTCTGTGCAGAGAGGCAACGCTTACAAAAAGGACATTCATTACCATAACAAATACAGGGAGAGCAGAAGACAATGTCCTTGTCCCTCACTTTTTAATAGAAGAGTATAACTATATAAGCTGAGAGCCACATCGCGTACCAGATGAAACCTGCCATCTCTGCTGTTTGAAATACAGCTCTCATTCTTTGTCCTTTAATCACTTAGAATAACATTATTTTTAACTCTTAAGAAGGAATTTCTTTGAAGTCTACATTTGGTTTGTATCTATTGTTCCACAGATTCTTTGGCAGCTGATGGCTTGGTTTCATCATTTATAGAACTAAAACTTCATTCTAATGTTTTGTTGGTTTTTGTCTTTAAATTATGGCGTGCAGGACAGCCTTCACCTGCTATATTTAAAAAAAAAAAGATACTGTCTCTTTAATGAAAGAAAAGCGTCAATATAATGTATTACCAAATGCAAATGCAGTAAGGAATAACATATAGCTCTGGTTATGTTATATGACATTTGGCTTAGCAGTATTAACATATTGCACAAAATCTGGATTTTCCCTATTGCAGAAAATAAAACAATAGAAGACATGGGAAATTTCTCTCTTCCATATGATCATAAAATAAATATTATTCTATTTTCCTCTTTTTCTTCTCATCAGTCATTTGCAGAAATATTTTAATATTATTTCTTTGTTAAGCCAGCTCTTTATCATGTATGTATTAGGCATACAGTACAAGGAGAAATGGAACAAGATGGCAGTTATAGCAGTGGCAAGATGCAAATTTATTCTGGCAAAAAAAGTAATATGTGCACAATATCAAGCATGCTTAAGTTTGTGCCAGGAAAACTATTACGAATGAGGAATGGATGGAATGGAATTTTGCATCATACATGATTACGTGTTGCTTAACTTCATAAAATAGTCTTTGTCTACTCCTGATGTCCCAGGTGCCACCAAGAGAAGCTGCATACCACACTGCTGGAGTGAAAATGGCAACAGATACCCCAGCAGTAATCACCTCTGCAACATGACTCTTTGTTTCAAAAATTAAAGAAATAGACCTCAAAATGATGACAGAGAAAATTCACAGACCATTGAACTGCAGGCACTGACTCCAGGTGGGGAGAGGGAGAGGAATTCATTACATCTTGTACTTGTGTTATAATTGAAAGTCTGTAATTGTTTGCTGCTTCATTTTGCCCAAGTTTAATTTGGCTACTTTATGCATGTGATGGTGTTGTCACTGTTTTTCCTCGTCTCTCTCATATTGTATGACACGCGACTCAGTGTAACCAAGCAGTGGAGGAGTTATATTTTTCACTGACACCACTTGAAAACATTTTGATAGAAAAATAAGGGATGAAGGATGAAGAGGAGCAGGAGAGAAGAAAGAAAATGCCTTAAAGATAGCTCTCTACATTAATTCACCATGAGGCAAAACAGAAATAATAACTCTTCTTCATGTGCCAATTCAATTGGGATGAACCAGACTTGCTACTGTATTGGTACAGTGTAAAAATAGATGACAGTGAGTAATGGTGTGAACAAAAAACTATGAGGAACATCACAGAAATGGATGTTGGATGGCCTTTGCACAGCAGAGGTAGATAAAGGTTATAACAAACTGTTTACTGACCATGTACACTTACTAGAATTAAGAGGTCAGTTGAACAAGAGCTCACCTAGTAAGAGCTTTCTCAGTAGCATGATTCATCAGCTGTTGTACAGTACCAGAACACTGCCCAGTTATTGCTCCATCACTTTTCAGTAACATCTCTGTCCTTTCAAAAGTCTACATTCTACCATTAGTTAAGGCTTTTTCATTTACATTTCTACATTTTTCCCCACTTTTTGCATCAATTCAATATAATTAATACATGTGCCTCTAACAGAAAATAAAATAACTAAAAAGCACCATGTTTTATTGAACAAAATATAGCATGTGCAAGGAAGGGAAGGGAGGAATTATAGAAACAAACCAGTGCTGAAGAATTTTGCATTAGCTGGTGCTTTTTGTTGTTGTCATATTTGCACAGATCATTTTAGGCTCCTCAGTCCAGGTTGTAGTAAAACACTATAAAAAAAAATATTCTTGCAAAATATTTGAGCTTTCGCAGCTTAACATGTGCATCTTGAACCGCTTAAGCAGTATAGTTATCTTCTTTTTGTTTTTCTCCAGAATTTAACAGACCATAAAGTGTATACAAAAACGCATTATGCACCAGTGATTAAATGTTCTTACAACATTAATATTTATCAAGGGGTATTTCATAGATAGAAAGTAGGTAACTATATTTTATTTCCTAAGAGAACATTTCCTATAGTTTTCCTTCATCTCCCAGCTACACAGCAAACATCTCTAAAGTGCACTTCCCAAGTGTAGTTAGAGAATAGGAAGGAATGTAAAGTTTTTAAAAACAGCCCTTATTAACTTTTCCTTCCATTGATTCTACTGTAAACTCTAAAAAGCCTTTTTAAAAAGCAAATTCTCATACACTCAGCAGGTGAAATGTTCCCACAAAAATAAAAGTAAACAAATTAAAAACGACCCCAAACAATGAAAAATCAGCAATCAGATTACAATCTTTTCTCTTGACTACTCATATCCTAGTATATCTTTACTGGTTTTATTGCACATTTATGAAAACGGTTGTCCTATATATTTAAAACAAAATAGTTTCTTTATCTGTGCTAACACATTCTTGTGCACCCTTAATAACTAGAGTAACTTTCAACAACACGTAAATATTAGAAAAACAATGGAATCAAACCCAAAGAGATACTTTGTATTATAGATGCTCAAAGGCTTCTAGTGTAATTTTGTTGAGACAAAAAGACTTGGACTTTGGAAGCTCTTTCCTTATGGAAAGCTGCTGGTTATGTGACAGCAGGAGAACTCAAAACGTAATTCACAATGAATGCCAATCCTTCACCTCCAATATGAAGGCTTCCCAACTATTCAACTTGCTGAGCATAACTGGTTTTACATAGCATATCTAAAAAGGCTGCTGCTGTTCAACTGACCAGTGAGACAGGACTGGGCTTCTTCAAAATGGGTATTGGAGCAACAGTTTGTTATATATTTCTTTACATTTTTTAACTGTCCAATCCCACCTTGTAAGGAGAGCACTTGTTTGTTCAGCTAAAAGGAACCCCCTTCATGCTCCTTTTGGGTTTGCTCAGTCAACTGGTTTGTGCAACAGTGGCAGAAGCACACTGGAATTGTGTACCCATTCATTGTGATTACACAGACAGAAGCAAATGTACGTTGTCTGCAACGGGAAATGGGGAGGGAAAGGAGATGAATGGTTCCCATGGGTAAGAGGACAGTTAGGTTTGTTTGGGTTTTTTTGTGGTTGTTTTTTTTTGTTAAATTTTGTTTTGTTGTTCTTTTTGTGTTTTTTGTTGTTTTTTTGTTTTTTTTTGTTGTTTTTTTCTTTTTTTTTTTTTTGCTATGTCATGGAATCATAGCAGTCATTCCTCTAATAGAAACTGACAGGACATAAAAGACAGAACTATCAGATGAACACACACAATGACTAGAAATATATCGACAGAGAAAAGACTTAATTTAGCTTTGAGAAACCGTCCCAAAAATAAAATCCTGTATTAACAAGTGCAAAAAACAAACAAAAAAGAAACTCCAAACATTAAAACACAGTGTATAAAATGGTGTGAGAAATTTAAGTCACCATACAGCCTTTTACTCAATAAAAAGCTGTGTTCATGTGTCCTTGTTGTTTGGGTAGTGGCCCATTCTTTTCATTTTACCCAAAAGGTCATTCAAGAAGAGATCTAAGGGTAAAGCACTCAGTCCTTGTTATTTTTGACTGTAGTCATTTGGGCCTGTTGTGTTTCTATCATGTAAGATAAATCCTTTCTTTTATTCCTCATTGGTTGAATTATCTTCCAAAGTTGTTATGCCTCCAAAGCCCAGTCCTGTTGAGTTCTGTGCTGCTGAGACTGTAAGTACTGTATGTAAGAGAATTAATACAAGAACACACAGTTTAAGTCTGCTGTTACACAGTCTTGATGCTGATGAAACTGTGAGCGATGTCCTGTGACACGTTGTTGAGCCACTTGTTTTAATAGTCCCTTTGGATTGATGATCTGATAATAGTCCCCATCTGACATCACAGCATTCTGGTTCTGCATTGGTTGGATAGTTTTCATAAAGCCCTGTAGGGTAAACACAAGAAAAAATAAACATCAGGCACAAAAAGATTGGCAGAAGTTGGTAGGTCAAAGGAACAGTTGATAGTTTAGTCTAAGCTATAAATCCACACCTTTGGGTTAGCCTGAGGCCCTCAAAACGCTTGCATTTTGTATAATTAGAGTTGTTGAAGGGATATGTGTCATCTAACAGGAAGCAGCATCAAAAGATCATTCAACAGAAGTATGATGCTGAGCATGGTTGTGTAAAGAAACGGTGTTAAAAAGTAATTATTGGTTTGAATGATAAGGATATTTGAATTCTTCCTTTTTGGAAGATGCAACTTTACTTGGGCTCATGTAATGACGAAGTAACTAATGATGAACTAATGATGAAGTAACAACTAATCAAACTGGACATTTCCACAAAATTTGAAAGGATCTTGAAATTATTCCTCAATCTGCGAGCGGATACCAGTAATACTCTCCATTAAAAAATAGGCATTAAATAACAAATAATTGATATACTGACAATATTGACAATATTGATTGTCAAACCAATACAGATCCAACAGCTTTACAGGAACAGCTTCCAATCAGAGCTGTTCAGAGTCTACTTGTTTACCCTATCTTAGATGAGTTCTTCCAGCTGGGATGTTTTCTTTGGCATATCCCAAAGGTAAGAACAGTCTTTCATGCCATACAATAATTGGATCTCTTGATATTTCTGACTATACATCTACATAATTTCTGCCTTTAGAACTTTACTGAGTTACTCAGCCTGATCTGATTATGAATTTTTGAACAGTTAGAGGAATTCTGTCTTTTCCAAAAGACACAACTGTCTTTTTGGAAATTGTCAGTGCTGTCTGCATTACTATATAGGAGACTAAAAAAACCAGAGTGTTCTGTTTACTTCTCACATATCTTCTTTTCTGATAAATTAAAAGAACATAATTTAGCCTGTTTAACTACCGGTCAAATGTAAGAATGCCTAACAGAATGGACAAACACCTCTTCTCCATTTAAACTGATCTTGGAATAAATTTTGCAATACATAATTACTCTATGGTAGTGCTAGGTTTTACTAGAAAAAAACCTATCTGTGTTCATAGAATCATTAAGGTTGGAAAAGACCTCTAAGATCATCGAGGAATCCAACCGTCGACCCAACACCACCATGCCCACTAAACCACGTCCCTAAGCGCCTCATCTACCCTTTTTTTAAATACTTCCAGGGATGGTGACTCAACCACTCCCCTGGGCAGCCTGTTACAATGTTTAACCACTCTTTCAGTAAAGAAATTTTTCCTCACATCCAATCTAAACCTCCCCTGGTGCAACTTGAGGACATTTCA